GACTTACTGCCCCCAGATTCTCCCCACTTCGTCTTTTATAGTGGACAATTGTTTTTGACAAATTCCTGCGTGATGTGTCACTGAGCGGGCAGCGACCTGGATGTCCTGCTCATCCCCAGGAAAGACGAAGGGAAGCTGCGGCGGGTCATGTGGTCGGCACCGCTGACCGTCACCACGGCGACTCACTGTAACCACTGCACACATGCATCACGGGGTTTGATGGCAAATACGCGGCTCCTGGCCTCCAGGGGTGAAAGGTCACAAGTTCCCTGTCGAAGTCCAGTGTCGGGAATCACGTCCCTGCAGGAGACAGAGACAAAGTCCCTCAGTGTCGTGTCAGCAGGATGGAGTCAAAAAGACAAATGTCTCCTCTCTGCTCCTTCACTGGTGTCTCCGTCAGAGAAGTCCTTCTTCAGCAGGCTGACCTTTGACACCAGGTCACAACCTGCTTCTCTGTCTGGTCTGAGGACTGAAGGAAGAAGAAGATCCTGCAGCAGCAGAGTTGAACCCTTGATGATGACGGAGTCACATGACCCAGGAGTGAACGTGGATAGGACACAGAGTCGCTGGTCCACAGTCTGTGTCCTCCTGGTCCAGTCCTATGATGTGACTGAAGGGATCTTCTCTTCACTGCAACTGTTGGACAAAGTCACAGAGGTCAGAGGTCGTGGTGGGGCTGCAGAAACGTAGAGATTTCAGGAAGGAGCAGGTGGATGTCAGCGGAGGAATGTCTCCGTCAGCGTTGAACTTCAGCCCAGGAATGTGAGCAGTATCACAGCTGATGGTGTCAGGACCAGGTGTCAGGACCAGGTGGCAGTAGTGAGTGTAGTATTATAGTAACAGTAATCTGATATTAGAAGAATATCAGTGTTAATGTCAGAGAGAAACGTCTCAGTTAGACTGGCCTTAATACACGGCTTAAAGTAAAACAAAGTGTAAAAATTGACCCTAAACCTAAAAATAGCTAGAGGTTATTTAAGAAGCTAGCTCAAATGTAGGTAAAAGTTAGCTAATCGCAGAAAGATAAAAAAACGGACAAATCAGACATTTGTCAGAGAAGAAAAAAGGATTTCCATTATGTCTGCAGTGAAGGATGATTGGTCGGTTCATTTCAACCAAACTTCAACCACTATGTTTATGTACATACATACATGTATATATGTAAGACGGGGGAAACAGCAGGTCGACCCTAAATACATTCCACAATTCCCAGAGGTCATGACCCTGGTGTGTCCTGGGACCAGTTGCTCATGTGACCCAGCCACTTGTTTTAAATGTCAGAAAATAATTCATTGCGGCGACGGTTCTGGCAAATGTTCCCACCTCTCAGTTTGAACGTATTCCCTCAGTCGGAGTCCAGTCTCACACACGTGTGTACGTGGTTTTCTCTGTCAGGACTTCATCCAAACTTTCACTGTTATCACATCGACATCACTAAGAAAAACTCTTTCTTCACATCTTACCCGGCTCAGTTAAGACCAGTTTATGAAGAGAATTCATTTTTAATTAAAATGTTTAAAAAAGAAAAAAAAAACAGATTCCGCCATCTACCACCAGAGGGAGCCAAAGTTGACACATCATCTTCAGGACTTTTTCAGACGTAAAGAATGTGACAGTGAGTGAGCAGTGAGGAAGTCTCTCCTCTTCACCACTCTCGTTTCTGATCCTGACAGCCTGACCTTTGACCCCCACCACCTAGCATGATTAATACCGTAAAATACCATGATTTTACCGTAAAAACACAGCTGTCGAGTTTACCAGACAGCTAGAAAATCATGTTTAATGTAAGTGCGCCATCTTCCGGCCATTCAGGGAACGGTTGTGTACACGTTCTTAAAGTATGTGGGAAAACACGAAACATCTTTATCTTTTTATCCGATAAAATGAGTTAAGTCTGTCCATCGAACTCATGGTTCTTAAAGAATTTTCCAGAAATTCTTACCTGCAACACATTCGGGTTCGGGTTTTTAGGTCACATCCCAAAACGGCCGTTTGTTCCACGAACCTTTCTGTTCAAATGAATTCAGTCGTTTATTTGATCTTTAATTCTTTCTTTCTTTCGTTTTTCAAAGTTTTGATATTTTCACCGAACACTGTGTAGGAAAAGGCCCATCACCTTTCACCACAAGGTGTCGCTGCATAGTTTAGATTAAAAAGCCCGGCTGTGATCGACAGTAATTTGGTAATCCCGACGGTATATTATCAGCCACCGGACCACCTGTA